ATATCGCGCGATCGAAACCGACCTCCGTCGCCTTCCAATGTTCGCGCAACAGTTCGCGCGCTACGGCGTGTCGAGACAATTCCGGATTAGCCGGCTAAGGTGATAAATCGTCGGCGATAAATATTCGTTGCAGATGCATTGATTCATGCACTGTTAGATTCTCCACCGCGGCAATAGGCAAAGAAATTTCCGCATCGATTCTTGAATGTGTTGTGTTAATATTAAATTGAGAAACGTTAAGAATTATATCAATAATATGCAATTTTCCATTTTAAGAAGAGTTGTACGATTGCCGTGCGTTACAAATGGAATTAAAACTAAGTAGCCAGCATGCTTTATGCTGACTATATTCGATTCCACCCTCTTTATCTTATGACAACTACATAATAGACAGTCTGAGAGACTTTATCACGCTCGACTGCCACTTTCAAGTTTATTCGTCCGTGTTTCCCTTCGCGAAAAATGCGTTCTAACTGTGAAGCTTAAGCGGTACATTGCCACAGGCAATCGATTGGCAGCGGTATACGCTTGAAAAAGTTTTGAATTTTTCATATAGCAAGTTTCTGGACTAATATTTACTGATTTTTCGGGGTTTTGTCCACATGACAATATGTATCTTTTTACGTAATAAAATACGAATATGAATACAAATATACTTTCAAGCACATAATAGATTTTTTCTATTTCTAAAAAACAAAAAAACAAAAAAAAAAACAAATTAAAATTAATAAATAAGATATATTCAATTATATTGTAAGAACACTAAACAGAATAAATTTCTAACTTTACTGCAACAATTACGTGGCTTTCTTTGGCAAAAGCATTTTTAATATACTGCTGACTTAAGATCGAAGCACTCAAGAGGATTCCTGATGGCAGATAAACGTCTGTACGTATTCAGGTGGAACTGCGTGGGAAGTACGAGGTCGTAGGTCAGGGCACGATATCGCTGGACCTTTGATCCCGAAATGGTAGACCCCACGCAGTGCGACTGGCGATTTTCGCCGGATGTTATGGAGATTCGATGGATGGCTGGTAACAGATTGTAACAGCGGACCGTGCTGTCAACGTGAGGTTCCGTGACACTCGCATAACGGAGATACGCTTATCAACTTGCATCATCAAAAGAACGTACCTTAGATAACAATTTATGCGCCGAATTTCTTCGCTTTGTGTTCCATTCCATTTTTCAATCTTTTTCTCTTTTGTAATTTATGTATTTGCAAAAATTTTACGCTGATATTTAAAGTTTGCTTTAAACAATCCATAATTTGTGACAAAATTCGAAATAACAATCTATTTATAATTTTATTGCATAAAAAAGAAGAAAAGAAAAATCAGAAACATAAAATGTATATACAAGAATAAATAAAAAAAAGTAAAAAAACATTTTTGATTCGCAAATCAATATTGTTCTCTATTTCTGATATGTATGTATTCCGATTTGTTGAATATATTACATAGAGAAATAAAATTATAAATATAGAATTTTATCTAGAATTTTGTCGGAAATTGTAAATCTAAAATTACAAGTTTAAAGTAGAGTTTTATAAATAACCGAAGAAGAACGCTATAACAAGCGGCTATAGAATGATCGTTTTCTCAGATTTACTATAGTTTTTAGATGCAAGAATTACAGTCGGTTTTTAGGTCGCTCTTGATAGACATCTCACTGTGCGACGTAGCGTAGGCGTAACTTGTTAACTATAACCGCGGATATCAACTTGCTATGCCAGCAGAGTACACTAGAGCTCAAAACACGATATTGAATGGCATCAACAATCGGTACAATCTCACGCTCCGCTCAATGTCTTTCGTCTTTCAGCACCCACGTCAGCCGCAATTAGCGCTTGACTGGCGCGTTCAACGAGCGTCACCAACATCCACGCGCTCACAGACGAACGGCTTGTCGTTTTCAATCCTCGTTTTCTCTCATTCAACGTTTTAATCTCCTCCGCGCGCACGCGGAGAGATATCGAATAAATTCGTAACGCTACACTCGGGAATCCGCGCCGGTCCAAACGTCGCTCGCGCACAGATGTGAATTATCAACGATCCACCGGCTTAGACGGGCCCCGAACGCGACGAAACTGCGCTACGTGGAAGTGCCGACGTGGCGGAAAAAATTACGGGGAAAACGATCAGAAGAGGTCACTGCTTCCTGGAGGGCTGCCTTCTACCTCGTCGACGCTTCCTGTGTTTACACTGCGCCGTTCTGACGTCTCTCTCTCGTCGGCCCTCAAACGTGGACGCCGCGCTGACAACTTGTCAGTAGGCTTCTTGTGGATGTTTTCTGACGCAGGACACATGGTGTCCGTACGTCGTCGCAGACTAAACTTATATAAAGACCGGCACACTTCACTGCCCCTCGTCCTCTTTCGACTAACCACCGGTTCGCCGTTTACTCTCATGTATCTTTTGGCAAACCGAGAATTCGTCCGTGGAATTATTTTAAACGAGAATTAAACGAGAATTATTTCGTGAGATTTTCACGGAAACGGATGTGCTGTGCCTCTGTATTTCTGCGATGTAATATAATCACACTCGACGAGTGAAAGTGTCCCGCTGCAGAGATGATCGTCATAGCGGAAGTTTACTTTATCAAGTTTACACTAACAAGTTTGTTATGTCAAGTTTACATTAATCTTTTGTAACGAGTTAATCGTGCCACAAATATTATGATTCGTAACTTTGCCTGCTTTTCGTTCTCGTGTCAATTTCAATAAGATAAAAGCCTAACCAACGTCCTTTGAAATTACAAAGTAAAAATTAATGAGTGTAAAATAAGTTATTTTTAATATCAAGTGTAAGTATACTTAAAGATAAATGAGCGAAGATTTTGTTAAAAATTTCTTCAACAGCTTTAATCTATATTTGTATTTTTTTTTTTACTTCTTCAAACCGTTAAAGCTTACTTATCTGGAGAAAATAACGATTTCAGCTCCTCTACACTTCCTAGTATCTTGAATAATGCTGAAGTTATTTCTCCGAACGATGAGGAAAAGAGCCAGCATAAACTTATGTTAAATTCGTTAAAAATTTACACGGCTATCAAGGCGAGCACCCAGTGCTATTTACGTCCACTCCCCTTCGCCCTTCCCTATTCTACGTACGAAACTCGGCGGAGGAACGAAAAAAATTTTAATCGAGAAACTTTCCTGAGCAGTACGAACAGGGTATTCGCTGGAGATCGTCCTCCGAGCTTCAGATAATACAGTGGCTAGCTTTATGCTTGAAGGAAGAAAGCATCTTCGACTCTAAATTACTGATAATTATATGAACACGGCAAATTATACGTTAGCTAAAACTTTAAAGTACATAAAAATGTTCTCAATAGAAAGTACTCTGACGTATTTTTAAGCGGCTTTGCATGTAAAGTCTTAAGAAAATTCTATTACAGATGTCTTGCGTAGCAATATCAATAATGGGAAAATAGTTTCAATATATTGTATATAATTAATGTGAATATATAAGAAAAATGTTAATACGGAACTCGATTGAAGGCAATTCCAATTTCAATCATTTTCATCTGCGGTAGATAAATTGTCATTCTTTATCTACAAAAAGAATGCTGCTTAATAAGCAGTTATATCTCATTTTTATATGTGGCACGTGTACAACCAACGGAATCGGGCAGACAAAAGTTGGGCTGACTTTGCGCGGTTAATTGGAGTAATTTGCAGAGGACTGATGTAAACGCCACGTCATTATGACGGTTATGACTAAAGACCCCTGACGTATTACGGCGTTCCACGCACAATAGCGAGACCAGAGATTCGCATTATACCGCTCTGGCTCCATTCGTGCGCTAGCGTTCCATCTGTGCGTCTTCCATGTGATCACCAACGCATATATGGTTTATTCTGTGCGCTTCTGTATTCAGGTATTCTATTTGAATGGAATAGTACGCCCGTAATAGGCATGCTCGAAACAAGAACAATATTGTCGATGTTTCATGTAAACACAAGTAAATGAACTGTATATAAATTAAAAAGTTCTCTTGAAGAGATGTTTCCAATTAAAAATATATAATACGAGTAATAAATGTAAAAAAACAAGTAATTAATTTTTTCCTTGCCATACAAGAGAAATGATTATTTACATTAATTAATTTTATAATATTTAAGTAGATGGAAATTCACTTCATACGATATGTTGATTTTGTTGCACAGAAATGTTTGCTTTAAAAAAAGAATATAATACTATTACTGTATATATAACAGTTTCACAAAAGTATTTTAGATAGCGTAAGAGATCTAATCGATTTTCTGGATATATGATCGGTCTGCCGTATTTCAATTTACGCACAATGGTGTAACCGCAAATTCGTATTGTACCAGGCCGGCTTGAATCGAACGCGAATATTCCATCTGTACGTCTTCCACGTGACGAGCTACCCACGGTAATTGAGGTTTATGGAAATGGGCAGTGGTACTGTTCCTCGCTGCGTTGGATAGCACTTTCCAATTAATATTTTCGAGTAAACAAATAACTAATTAATTTGTGTTAAACTTTGACAACCCAAAAATTAATTATAAACGCGAAACATGTAAATGCATCATTTCTCTGTACGACTGTCATTAAATAAATAATATATAGAGAATGTGTGCGAATAATAGAACATATATCTATCATAATTCATCGTGAGAGGGAGATTAATGACCGGCAAAATGAAATGTCTAATAACCTCGGCATACTTTCTGAATCCGTGCAGGGATTTGTATGCCACGTTTCGCACGGTGAAATCGATTTCTAGACGATGCACGATCTAACTGGTGGCGCACAATGAACGTGATTTACGCGCAGCGCTATAGCTACACTTGACCGTTGAATTAAACATAATAAATAGATAGGTCGGTATCTAGGGGAGGAGAGAGATTTTGAGCTGGTGTTAGCACCCTTCGGAAAGTAATCGTGCCTGCCGCGATACCCCCTTCATTAATTACGGCTACGAGGGGGCAATATGCCAGGAATCTTGGGTACTTTAGTACAATACTCACCGGGGGGCTCACACATCTGCCAAAGTCTTTTCGGGGCGGATGATGGATCTTCGCAAAATCAGGCTGGCCAAGGCAATCCTGCATTATGGTGTCCTAAAAAAAAAATTATATAATATATTAGTATACAATTTGCGTGCGCAAAAATTTGATTTGTCGATACACTCTGCTACAAATGATCAACAACATATTCCTCGTGTACGTAATTGCGTAAATTCATTAATCAAGAAGCGAGAGGCAACGTCAAACATTAAATTATTCGAAACGTTCCTCATCCTATTGTTATTGTTTGCCGCCAAGTACTTCACTTATAGCGCAACGCAACTAACCAACTTGCGACAGTTTGCTAAACACTCGCGCGACATTGCTGAAATTCGAGACTTAATTACGAGAAAACGGCGAGTTTATACGCTCCGACGTGCTCGAACGGGACCCCGCGCTTTCTGTCCCAGGTGGAAATACAGACTGGTTCCGCGCCAATGGGCATTATACGGGACCTGACAGTCAGGCCGCGGCGTGTTGCAGTGATTAATGCTAACTGCGAGCTATCCCTCCTCCGGACTATTGCCATCCACCCTCTCGCTCGCCGGTAACAGATGTACCCCCTATTAATCAATCCGGTCCTCCGTTCCTGCCCTCCCAGTATCGTCGGCGGCCGGGTCTAGTCTCTCATATCATCGCTCAACCCTTCTCGCCCTTTGCGTGACGCCATATAGTTCACCACGAACGTGTGTTCCACGTCCGATATCTCCGGTTTGATACGCTCTTGAGATGACCACCCACATCTAGATTCCTACGAAGTATATTGCCCTGAAGCTCTAAGATCGGTATGGATATCGATAATCTTGTCAAAGTATAGCATACCGTCAAACAAGAGAGATATTTTAACCATTTGCGTACCAAGCGGTCGTGCTTCTTCTCTTTTATGTTAAAAAAAATGCCAGGAAGCGTCCGTTGATTTTTAGGATATTAATTTTTTAATTATATAAAAAAATTAAGAATACAGTAAATTGTTTCCTAGAAACTCGCTTCAAAACTAAACTGAGCAGTGAGGCAAGAAAAGGGCGCGCGATAGCGCTTGTTGGCATTTTTCGACGTGAATGGAAAAAGCATGATCATGCTGCTTGGCACTTTTTGCACGCATTCTTACGACCGCTCTTTCAGCACTTGAACAGTGTATATTCCTCCATTTTTTCGTAAATTGTTCACAGAAAAAACGACGGAGACGCTAAAGAAAATTTAGCGACACTCGAATGACAAAAATTCAGATATAGCTGAATAATGTATTTAAAATTGCATATTTAGAGCAGCAATATCAAATGCGAGTTAATAACATTTCGTATACAATTTGTCTCCGCGCGGCATACAACTGTTATAATTCTCTTTGCGTAGCTCCCGCTTGTGAACTACTCGTGAATATATCATCCGCCCGAGGACGAGAGCAGACTAAAAGCAACGTTTCCAAATTTTCATTTGCATTCTGAGGCGCATAACTCCGTTTCATCTTGCCACAGAACGTTGGAGCAGAACGTTGACTCGGATCGAAGGAGACCTCGAAGCATGGCGAAGGTACGCGTAAAGTGAAACAGGAGGAATTTCTATCTTTTGCCCTTCAACCCTTGATTACATCTCACTTTCGCAAATCGCTTTCTTCTCAATTTCAGGTACCGCCAGGCTCTCCCCATTAAATTAATTAATAAAATAATCATTAAAACGTAATTCGACCGTCGGCCATTAAGATTAAGGAAATCCGGTCGAGGTACGCCGGATCGATTATATGCCTCGTAAGACGAGGGTTGCGCATTACGCCACCACACTTTTAACAACAATACGACCGTGTTTGCGCTGAGTAGTCCGGCTATAACGGGCATGACATCACCGTCAACAATGCGTGTCTTTCATTCCGTTCACGCCTCACCCTGATGATAATAAATGCCCACGATTAATTGAATAATGGAAAGGACGTAATGAGCCGACACGAAAGGGTCCCAGGGCTTGTGGAACGCGTTTTTCGCTTTAGGACCGTGCCAAGTGCAACCGCGAAACGGTATACGGCCACCCCAGTCGCCGTCCCCCAACCAGTCGCAATATTTTTCGCGTCCATTAAGCGCGACCTCACGGTGGGGTGATACTTTTTAAGTAGAGGGTGAAAAGAAACGTCTTATGGCTCTAAACCTTTCCTCGGGCATCGACTCGTCTCGCTACGACTCCGTTCGTTCCCGCGACCCTATCGCATTTCTTATTTCAAGCGTCGTTAGTTAAGATAAATTCGCTCCAAGTTATTACGGATTATTGTGCCGCAAAATTGCGCGATGAAAATGTTGCAGTGTTCCCGTAGAAGCCATCATTCAGTAAGCAAAAGAGGCGAAAACAAAAGTTTTATCAGATCAATTTCAGCGTATGCATATATCACGGCTCTGTCAATAGCATTTCGACAAGCTGGACAGCACGTTTGCTCAAATCGGATGTCGATTATATAATCCAACTTTTTGTCACATAAACGGCAATTTCTAAATAAGTTAATAAAATCAGTTAATCATTTTTAAAATCGCATAAAGTTTATAAAACAATAACAATACGCATGCTTTAAATTTATCTTTAATGTGCTTGTAATTAGTTATTAACAAATAAGAATATCACATTCATCTTTGTCAATCCCTGCAGGGAACTTTATCGCAGGAAGTCCCAAACTTTCGCGATACTTAAAAAATATAATCACGCGACATTCTTACGATGCGTCAGTGCGGAGATAATTAATTGGAAATTAGTGGAGGGTGGAAACGGCGGCTTAATCTGATATAAGCCACTCGGCGAAACCTCGCAGGAGGCCTTCCGTTCTTCACCCATGGTCGCTCGTCAAGAGGCGCGACTCGTAGGCGGGGTCGGGCGCTCGGGGAAAGAGGAAGAAGAGGGAAGCCTGGAAAAGTTTTGAAATTCCGGCCGTGGAGCCGCGCGGCGGAGGAATTGATTACGCAGCGACGTGGCTCGCGATAAATGGTAGTTAGCGGGGGTGCTGCTCGGGGTAGATAGCGCACTGGCATATACCAACGAAGCTAGGTGCACGAATTCTTTACAACTGTTTGCCGGTGGCGGTTGCGCCTTGCATCCCCGTCGACGAGATAGAACACGCAGAGTCGTCGCCGCGTTACGTGGCCGCAGCCGACCCTCCTCGTTGCAAGGAGAGCTTACCGTCCAGACGTATCGACATGCTCTCTTCTGCGATCCGTCGCATCCCTCCATCCCTTCATCGAAATCACCCTACTGATTTTCATCACCCTGCAACGCCTGCGATCATTTCCGACAATTACCGCTTGATACGATGAAATTTGAGAAGGCTCGAAACGCATGTGATTAAAAGTTGCAAACCTTATCTTCCGAAATAATCTTAGGGGATTTTCGTGTGAAGTTATCGATAAGATTGTAAAAAAATGCTATTAAAAATTTAAAAAAGAAAAACGTTAGTCAATCTTGATATAACAGATTTTAATATAATCATGGCGTGCACAATTCTAGAAGTGGTGCAGGTGCAAAACTGCGATGCAAATAGTATCATTTCTTGAAGGGTCTGTGGCAGACGATGTATTTTTACGATATAAGCCGGCATCTAGCTATGATATTCAATTTTCTGAAACGCTTGCGATGGAAGGCTATCCAAACAAAACTATTCGTCTGTAAAATATTCTCTATCTTTTCTTCCTTCAAACACATAGTGCATGATATCTAAGGAACAAGCGACGTCGCTGGTTGATCGATTACAAAATGACATCTTACAGTAAATAACTTTATGAAAACTTTGCTATTGTAACATAGTTGACGTCGGAGATAAAGGTATTGTCGCCTTCATTCTCGTAACGAAAGGGGACATCAAAGTAAGGCGACCGAGATATGCTAGCGCTGTGGATGCACCGGTAATGGCCCTAATCCCGACGTAATTACTCCCGTAATTACGCAAATTCAATTTGTATGAAGCCCCTGCTTCGGGTAACCCATATATCTCTGGGACACGACCATCTACCCATCTGGTCGTCGGAGGATTTCCAAATCATAGATTCGCCGTTAGAACGCGTAATGGAAAAGAGGAAAAGAGAGGAGCAATTGTGCAGCGGTCGAGCGAGCTCGAAGGGCGAGCACGAGAAGGATGGCAAAGGTGGAGAATGGCTGAAAGAGGTAAGAGAGAGAACGTTAATGGGCACGGAGAATGCGGTTTCAATTATTGTCGGCGGCGGGTCCGAGTAGCCGTTTACATACGCGATACCAGCTTCACCAGAATTATTCGCGCAGTTCGTTGGGCGCGTCCCCGATTGCATAGTCCTCAATTTTCGCCAGGGGTTCAGACTCGCGTGCGCGCACGCGCATTATGCAAAAATACGCATTCACCGTTACATTTATATTCCGCATTTTGTGTCGGAAAAGTTTAAAGTGTGCATCAATATTTATGGTAAAAAATTAAAATATTAGAAATGTGAATTTATACATATAGTGCGAATATATGATTATTATAATGAATTCCTTTGGACAAGAATTCATAAAATAATGTTTGCTACTAATTTATATGTACATCGCAAGATTTTTTAATGGAAAAATATTTGTTTGCGACGGAAGAAGATACATAAAGAGAAAAAAATGCAAACAAAAGTAAAAAATTTGTAGGAATTTTTGCTCGTTGTTCCAAGTTTACTTCACTGTCCTGGCGGTCATCCAAAAGTCTCTGCGAAAACTACCCAAGACTGGCAGCGTCTTCCGGCACTTAGTTAACCACCCTATCCACTTGGAACAAAATAATTGGTGACTGGAGAAAATTGTTACGCGGTAGAGTGAGTAAGCACAGTCAATTTATTATCAAGCTGATTCAAAGACAATCTATCAGCTGGCTAATCGTCCGTCGAACAGTCGTGATGTCTCATAGTGTCGGAAGCTATAAATTCTTAATACTTGTTCGACAAATGTATTTAAAATAAATTATCAAGTGCTTTACAACAGATTAAAGTAATATGCATGTAATTCCATAGCGGAACGCTATGTGAATATGCATATATTAATTATAGAAATGTATATCATTCAATTTCCGGTTGTATAATATTTTTAATACCTCTGAA